AAACATTAATCCACAATTCCCCAGAGTTTGTTTACAGGTTAAGTCAACGGTATCCTTCTGCCAGGTCAGGAGCCCAAACTGAAGATCCACACCTAATCATCTGCTGTCAGTTCATCCTGAAACAATAGTTTTACAGAGGGAAATGAAGAACCCAGGTAAAAGCTTGGTGGCACAGTGGTAAACAGCCTGTCCCTGCTGCAGCTCCCCTCTGGAATTTACAGACCTGAGATCTACGTTATATTGGCTCTAGGCTTTAAGAATATTCATTCTTCAAACCTTCTCCCCACGAGGCATAATTTTGTTTCCTTCTAAAACATGACAGACTGGTCAGGGGAAAAGGCAGGATGTTGAGCACGTGCTGGTACCCCAGATAAGGCAGCCCGGACATTTGGAGTCAAGAAGGAATTTCTCCCCCCTCCAAAGACTGGTTGTACTTTCTTGTTTTTCCAGGAGGAAAGCTGCATGGGAGCAATAGGGTTCATTCATAGCTTTGAAGCTATTTGTGATGACTCAGTGCAAATATCTACCTTGGAACACTAATAAATCCCAATAAACACTTGCCAAACCATTCATATGTAGAAACACAGTTAAAAACAATCAAAGAAAAGATAGCAAAAATTAAAATGTTTCACATTCTGTTTGAAAAGATGAAAAGGTGAAATGAGATGAAAATGCTTTTGCTTCTACCCTGCAGACATCTAGATTGGATTTTATCATCCTTGGGGGGCCAATTGGGCATTTGTACAGTCATTTTCTTCTCTACTGAAACCTTCTGGAATAATCTCAGAGAGGGACTGTTGCCTTGCTGGGGGCGGTGAAATTTCATTCATATTCTCCTGTAAACAACTTAACAGCAAATTACCAGTGCATTTCCTTCCCACCAAATCACCTTAGCAACCCCTGCAAAACAGCTCCAAGGGAACTCGGGATCTCATGGAGACCTGCAAAGCCTCCAAAGGAAAAACACCACCTTTGGTAAAACAACAACAGATGCTTTTTATTTTGCTACTTGGAACCTTATAACCCCTCCAAGCCACAGACTTAGGTTTTGAGAAGCAACTGGTTCAATGTAAAGGTGCAAACATTCCCTTCCAAAGCAAAACCCTCTGCCCAGGACACGGTGCTGCCATCGGCCCTGCCCAACACAGCTTTAGACTGAGCCAGGTCAGTGATGGCAACACTGGTCAAACATCACCAGCAGGAACATTCCTGTCTTAGCTCCTGGGGGGACTCTGCTCACACATCTGGTAGAAGAGCAGCATTTTTTGCTTGAGAGAAACTGAGTCTGAACTGGACTCAAATCAATGTTTTTCAGAACTTCTCATGGATTGGGAATGCTAAGAATATTCAGCAGGAAGAACATACCTGTGCATACTTGCTTCCTGGCTTCTCAGTGAGATGTACACTTTTCCCAATTCCCTGTAACTAATGGATCCCAGATTCTCTTTTCTCCTTTTTTCCCTTCACTATCAGTTTGAGGAATTCTTGACTATTTTGCCAGAGCTCAACCCTGGCTGCAGCTGATGGTTGCCATTCCATAGCCACCAATTTCAGCCAGTGCCTGGCTGAGGTTAACAGGTATCCGTATCAAGCAGCTGAAATTCTCAAAATGTCAAAGTTGTTTCATAGGGTTTTTAAAGAACCCAAGTCCTGTGGCATTGTTAGCCACTCCCTTTCCTGACATATTCAAGATCAACCCTGACTGTTTCTAACTGCAATTTTCCTCTATTACATATTCTCCAGGAATCTCACAGGCGAAACCCAAGAGGGGCTGCTCAGTGCAGGGCATGGAAGCCAGACCCTCACACACCTCTCTCAACCTCGGGCAACAAGGCTGCCTTACATTTAACAACTTGCACAGAAACACTGCATTTCCACCAGAATATTCCAGCCTGGAGTACTCAGACAGCTGCTCCTAGCAACATGTGATCGAACATTAGCCCTCAGGTGCGTGTCGCTTGCCGTGGTGAGGGGACACCAGTTTAGATCCCAAACACGGCACTGACCAGGCTGCTGGCTCGGGTGTCCATCCCAGCCAGAGCCCCGACATCTCACCTCTCAGCAGAGGCTGCCTGTCTGCCACAGCAAGAGTTCTGTGGTAGGATTTTTAACTCAGACTGAAGCAAATCATGCTTTTAACTTTGAAAATCCTTTGTCAGCGAGGCAGCTGCACCACCAGAATACAACTCCAGGTTTGGCTTTTTGATCATGATTTTCTCAGCTCCTCTGGATAAAGGCAATGAAATCTGCTGGCCATGTCAAAACCACTATGGCCAACTTTGTAATGAAACTATTCACTGCCCATGCTTTGAGAACCTTGAATATTCTTGAACTATATGTAATGGGAGATAAGGAAGTGTTTCATTCACCTCTCAAATGGGATTCCAGGAAGGTGCATTTATGGAAAGCTAAAAAGAGCTGCAGTAATTCCACATGAGACCATGCTCTACCCGAACACACATCCATTTGCTGTAAGGTTATGCACAACCTGCTTTGAAAAGATGAGGTAGAGCAGCCTAATAAATCCATTTCAATCACAGATCTAACTCAAAGCCTGTTCTGCCCAGTTCTGAGCAGCACTTTGAAGTCATAGGGATGAAAGGGTGCTCAGTGTCTGACAGCCCGAGGGCTCTGGCACAAATGAACAAAACATGGACTCCTCACTGAGGGCTGGTGCCTCCTGGAGGGATCCCCAGCTTTAAGGAAAAGGTCTCCTGCCCATTCCTTCTGTCTTGTGCTCGGGTATGCAATGCTGCTGAAAAGACATTCTGAATCTGGATAACAATAGATCAGATCAAGGATGGGTAAAACAGGCTTAAGAACAGAGTAAACTAAGCTTAGGAAAAAATGTATCTACAAGAACATGGAAAATATGCTACATTAAAAAACTGTCCACAATTTCATTTCCAAGGCCACAAGACACCCAATAGCACTCAGTAACTACTAATTTCTACCAGCACAGGCCAGAAGAATCAGGTTAACAATTCTCACAACCGTTTATGGAGCTGTCAGCCTAAACAATGGCTTTTTTAGTATCTCACCATCAAACCGGAATAACAGATCAGCTTTTCCCTCAAGATGTAAAAGCCTCAACAGGAGACGATTTAACTCACCCAAGATCACTGATGCTCAGCAGATTACTAGTGAGATTTGCAAGTCTTTAGGTAGCCATGAGCACCTTTCCTTCAGCACATATTTCCTTACTCAACCACAGGCACAAAGCTGAAAATAATAATCAGCATGGTCAGCTCAGGCACACATGAGCCAGTGTCCCTCTGCACCCTGCATTTGCTGGGCCAGTCCCTGCTTCATTCCAGCTGCTGAGCACGGTATTGTTGGGGTTCTGAATAGTGACAGGGACAGACCTCTCTGTGAATAAATACGCATTTCTTGTGAGTCAAAACTACCAAAGGGCTTCGCTTCCCTCCCCCATCTTCTTTTCCCTAAATTCTGGAATGCAGAAACACATCATAATTACCCCAAAAGCAGCAGAGGGAACACAGCAAGGAGGAAGTTGGTCTCTCCATAATTCTATTCCTTTGCTTTTTGATCGTGATCCAATGAATGATTGTTTCCACAAAGACTCCCTGTTATCAGTGCGCAGTTCAAGCCTTCCCAGAGAAGTATTCAGATTGTATGCAGGCATTCATACTTAAGGGATAAAGTCTTTGCCATTCACTTTAGAACCCCTGCATAAACATTCTGTAATTGTATTCCTTTCTAAGCAGTGAGGTTTTGAGAGGTGGTAATTTGCTTCTAGTAATTAAATGATATTAAATAGAATAATATAACAGCTCATGATCCAGCACAGCTTTTACATTTTGCCTAGTTTCACATATTGCTTGGTGGAATAACTCAGAAGATTAATGTAAAAAATGCAAAGAACGTGAAGTTCTGAAGTATTGCATGATATGACTGTGCACCTTCCTGACTACCTGCAGCCACGAACACTGGGAAAAAATTGGTAGAGACACGCAGATTTCATAGAATCATAGACTATCCGCCCCTGCCCCTAAAAAGCCCAAATTTCTCACAATTACTAGGAAGAATCAGCTATTTCCTGGAGTTCCTTCTTTCTAAAATAATTAGAAACCACGGTCTTTCAAGAAAGCTTGATCCTTTTATATTACTTCTGCTGTTGATGTGTTCAAGTTAAATGCTTTTTCTCCAATTGGAACAGAGCTAAAACTACATTTGTCACAGGATTATTTTGAATAACATATAAATAGACTTTCTTGAGTTGGCCAGCATCTGGTAAAAGCTTTTCATCAAGCAAACAGCGGCAGCACTTCAGGTAACCCCCAATATGATGAATCCAACAGAGGTGTTCACAACCAGGCAGAGGACACACAGGACTTTCGTTTACCTGAAGGGGAGTGTTGTCCCTCACAGCTCATCTGCTTTTTGCGGCAGTTCAGAGGCAGCTGTGGGAGATGGCGTGCTTTGCTCTGTAGCAGCACACAGCCTGAAACCCAGGGTGCTTGTAGAGGGGCAGAGGAGTGGGCAGCCATGGTTGTGTGGGGTGAGCTCCACAGGCTGTGGGTGCAGGTCCGGCCGTGGCAGCTGAGGGTGATTTACACCATGGTGTCCCCTCAGGCCTGGCCGCCATGTTTGCTCCCCTCAGGCCTGGCCGCCATGTTTGCTCCCCTCAGGCCCGGCCGCCATGTTTGCTCCCCTCAGCGCCCGCGCGCCCGCCCCGCGCCCAACCTTCCCCATGCTCCAAAGCGAATCCCAGAGCTGTTTCTGACCATTAAAAATGTCACCACAGAGCATGAAGTGTTGCTAAGGGCTGACCCGCTGTTCATCTGTGTCTCAACTGTGTGGTACCTGTCAGAGCCAGCCAGACCCGGCCAGTATCCAACAAGTCACCAACACCGAGCTGAATAAACGTCATTAATGCACCTCAGCTTCCCGGTGCCATCTAGATACTGCAAAATAAATTTCATAGACCAAGATCATTGTTTTGTTACATTGCCATCTAAAAATCTATTTGGACTTACCTCTGGCGGTTAAAACTTTCCTCCTCAAGACTGGTAAATGACAAACAGTGTCGTTTACATCTGTTTACTCTGATAAATTTGCACTGCCAAGCAGCTACCTTGCATTAATTACATCTAGCAATAGCTGTTCCTCAGACAGATCTGGCTGTTCAGTGAGGGGACTCAGATTTCCGTGGCCACGTCCTCAGCTCCCCGTGCGGGACCTGCTCGGTGTCGCCCTGTCTGCAGCCACGAGGCCCAGGATGACGCTCACGGCCTTCCGTCCACGGAGGGCAAGGTGACACGGGAACGAACTGCAGCATAAACAGTGCTGGTGCATGAATGTACTCTACTAATGACTGCACAGAAAAGTAGAGCCTGCACAATCTGGAAGTGCTAACTGCTCTTCACACGACATGTAATTTCCATTTTTTATTAAGCAGGTCTTCTCACACTTTTCCTCATTAGTTCACCACATGATTATTGATTTTATTGCTGCAAGCTTATCCTAATTATACCAAAACAAATGTTTCAGGTATCAGGGACTGTTGGAGTAACCATTTTCTCCAGTCTGTTTCCTTTACCCCTTCCCACAACCGTGTTCCAGAATTTGCTTTCTGCAATTCTATGCTGGGAGAACACAATGTACTTTACAAAACGTAAAGCATTTCATACTTTTCAAAATGTAAAGCAAATAGATGATGCATTAAATTTAATGACTGACTTTGTGCTTTCATTTTACTCTTCTTTTACTTTAATTGAAACTCTAATGGAAAGTACTCGGTACAAAATCAAAGTGTTTGGTGGGTACCTTTCTCAGGAACTTGCAGCACAGCTCCATGTCCCACCTCCTGCTTACAAAGAGTTCTGCAAAGACCTTAGAACAGCTTTCTCTGCACTTACCACTACCAGTGACATTACTATCAGTGATCCAAATATCTCACATGTTAACATAGACTCTCACAGGGCTGCTGTGCAGGAGAGCTCTGTGCAGAACAAGCCTGAATAAACCACCTTCCTCTGCTCGGTCTCATTCAGCACATCCTTAAGCAGGAACAATCCACAAAATGAAAGTTCTTCAGATCCTGTTTTCTGTGCTTCGAGGCTATTTATTTGGACAAAAACCAAACCAAAACAAAACAAAAAAACCCAAACCAACCAACCAACCAAAAAACCCACCAAATAATCAAACCAAACCCAAAACAAAAAAAAACCAAAAAACCACAAACAAACAACAAAAAAACTGAGAATCCCTTTGCCACATAATATGAAGCAGAATTAATGAATTTTGAAAATTAACAAACAGAACACACGTTGAGTGCATTTCTGTGAGGCCTCTGTGGCTTGCCCCATTGTGGAGCAGTCACAGGCTGCCCCACTCTGTGTTCCTGTGCCTCCCACATTTCTTTACTTCCTTGAATTGACTTCTCTTTGTGCTACTTCTTGCTCAGATCCCCAAAGGATCCCGATTTACATCTTAATCATCTTTTTTACTTCCTTCTTCGAATGGCCTGTTCTCCACTCCGCTGAGTCCCCAAGTCCCACAGCTCCTCCTCCTGCCCCCCAGTCCCCGCTCTGTCCCAGCTCCTCTCCCGCTCCCCCTCCCTGGCTCCCAGCTCACACCCACTGTCCTCTTCCTGACCTGAGTTTGTAACCTCTCAGTCAGCCATGACTCTGCTTTCTCCACCTCTTTACCACCAGGCATTAGCTCATCCCCACCCTTACTTTTTAACATCATCTCTCAAAAATTTTTCCTCCTAAACTTCATTGCCAAAATGATCCACACTGTGTTAATTTTGTGCCTCATTCCCTGCACCTCCCTTCCGATGGGAACTTGGCCATACCATCTCTCCTCTTCTAGTGCACCCAAATGCAGCTACAAAATTATTTTGGTTTTGTGCCCTTCTCTGTTGTGGTTTCTCGGCTTCCTCCAAAGAACCAGCAAGATTCTGTTTGCTGGTTAGGCCTTACCTTTTATTTCCTGTCTTGCAAAGACCTGCAAAATAAAGTGATAAAAAAGGAGACTGAGTAACACACCCATTTGTCACTTACACTACTACAAGCAAACTTGCAATCTCCTTAGGGGAAGTCCATAAAGATTAAGAAAATTAAATTATTAAAACTGCTAGAACCTAGACTTTTTCAACATAATATAACGAGACGATTCCATAGATCCACTGGGTGGAGAATATTAATTCCCTGCTGTCATTCCTTTAAAAAGGATGAACCTTCTCTGCCAGGCCCAGCGCTTCACACTTACAGTCTCCAAGTTCCATGGCCAGGTTCCTCACTTGCAGTGCAGGGATGGGGTGGATACTCCTCCCATTCTCCAGGGTGCACAGGCCTTGGATTGAGCTCCTTAACCTCTTGGCACTGTGTCCAACATCCCATTCTAATAAAGCACTGTTTTAAAGAATAGTATCAGAGATGAGGTAATGTTATTTACCACGGCCGGAAGGAAGGTTTTCCTGTTTGTGTCTGAAGTCCACCGGAAACATCCCCATTGGGGTGTGGAAAAGTGATGCTGGGCACGCACTGCAGACACTTGGCAAGGGGCTGAGCCAGGCAGGAGGCCCAGAGTTAAAGACACTGAAGGAAGAATTAGCAGTGAGAGAAGAGTTTTTTTGACTTTCATCCTTCCTTCTCTTCAATGTACAAATAGCAAACAATGGGGAGAAATCCCAGCATTCACTGAAGCAGGGACACCTACAGCTCCATGAATGGGGGAGAAAACACAGCCAGCTGATGTGGGACGTGCATTAGCCATGGAAGGATCCTAACAGGGGTTATTTGTGTGTGAAACGGGCTCTGACAGCTCACAGGAGAGGAAATCAGAGGATTAAAAATGCATCAAGAAAATAAATGATAGAATTAAGCTGCAACAGAGGGGCAGATGAGGATGCTGTACAGAGACCTCGGGAGCTGCATCCTGGGGAGAGGAGTCATCTACAGAAACATGGAAACATGGAAAAAACAGCATTAACCTTGATCATGAGCAGATTGTGCATTTAAATGAAAAGTTAAGTTAAAAAAATGATGTAAACACATGCCTGTAATAAAATATTCCATAAGGTAACATTTTGGAGAAGTTCAAGGGGGCAGTGAGAGGACTCAGCAGGGAGTTACATGGGGAGGAAACACCACATTTTTTATATTCTAGTCTAAGATGTGAAATTGCTTTATATTTTTTTTCCTAAAAGGGAGCTGGGGGGCAGAGCTGCTGGAGAGGCTCCAGAGCCAGACTGACTGACAAGCACAGAGAGACATGTGGTGCCCAGCTAACAGGGGGTCCTGCCACACACCAAACAGCCTGGACTGGAGAACTGGTTGCCTATATAACATTCTGTGTTTCACCTAATCCTGGGAAGATAGCTTCAACTAAATAGATTTTTCCTAAACATGGAAAATGCATCCTTCAGCTGTTTTTCTGTGACAAATCTCACCACTGTGGAGTCAGGACCTGCTCCAGCTGCAGCCAGTGACACATTTCCCACCTGGTCTTGCTCTCACAGGAGCACACTGAGGGTACAATCCTTGGATTTCCACCAGCAGAAACATGTCTGTTTTATAAAACATGGACACCCCTGTCACAGGTTGCCAGATCTCCAGGCCTGTTTCCGAGTGCTGTCTAATTTATGAGATTCCCGACTAACAAGGCTGGAAAACACAGATAGAAAGGATGTTCCAAGGGATACAGCTTTCCCCAGTTCTGTTCCCATTGACTTTGACAAGGAGGATTTGAAAACCCAACAGCCAGTGTAAAAGCACCACACCTCTGTGTGCCAAGGCTGCCATCCAGGCTTCCCCGGGCACCTGCAGTTCTCAGGGAACGTGACTGTCAAAGGGAAAAACTGAGATTTGAAAGGATTGAAGAGAATGGGGTGGGGGAACAGGACAACACACACCCCCCCTGCAGATACTCAAATTGCAACCTGCAGACAACTTCAGATTAAACCCCAAAACTGAACAGCGACCAAAGCCCATTTTGATAAAGTATGATTGGAGATGTACGGCTTTATTCTGGATTGAGAGTTAATTACATCCTCCAAACAGTCTAATATGCAGCCAAATGGGGTCTCTAATTACCAAGTAGTCATTGGCTTCACAGACTCCCTCAGACAAAACCACAACCTAAATCCTGCAACGCTGGAACAAAGAGGGAAATGGCATTGAATCGTAAAGCTGTTTCACCTGGGTTCTACACTGAAATAAAAAGAAATAAAAATTAGAAATGCACATGTCCTTCCCACCTCCGAGAGCAGCCAGCACCCGAGCGCTTCGGGTGCCACCTCTCATGATGGGGAGTGACAAGGAGCCAATTTATGTCACCAAAGTGACAGACCATTGACAGCGTCTATCGGCAGGCACGCGTTTGGGGCTGGGACAAGCACCACCAGGGTAATTAGCAGCTTTCCCCAAATGGAAAGCAGCGGCATTCCAGACAGATCATGTTATTTGTGAACTTCTGGGGGTTTAGCAGCAGTGTAACAGGAACAAAAGAGCAACTTCAAAGAAAAAGGTGTCAAGAGGACATACATGAGGAATTCAGACCATCACAGGGAGCTTCAAGCATCTCTTGCTATTTCCAAATGCACCAGGAAAGGATCCAGCTCACCCACCAAATATTGGTGAAGATGAAGGGTTTTTTAAAAAAATCAGCACCACAGAAATTTCAGCCAATAGAACTGTGCTTCAACAAAAATTACTACTACTGCTGGTGTTCCTTGGTTTTAGTCTTTCAAATGACAATAGCGGCACTCCAGTTCCCACCTTTCTCCTTGGCTCACCTAATGATATGTCATGAAGATCGTGTACAATTATTGTGAGCTATTTATTAACTCTCTGAATCAACAAACTTCAGTCAAACTGACATCAGGGACCTGACAGTCTTACACATAAGTACACCTTTCATAGGCACGTCTCCAGCTTATGAAAGGTGCTGACAAATAAAGCTCAGGGGGGAGTTCTTCAACCAAAACGAACCACAGATCTGATTTTAAGGAATTTGAGGTGACAGATGGCATTCTTCCTGTTCTAATGTTAGTTTGCATTCGTTGAAAATTGCAAAAAATTAGAAGAGATGCTACAAGCCAAGCAGCCTGATTTAAAAATGGAAACAAACTGTCAGGATCCTTTCCTTGTGTGATTAGACTGGGATTTGCATTGCTGGAAAGAGGGAATGAGTATTTTTAACTGAAGAGCACTGAGTTTTATCGATGGTCCTCCATCAACTCATCTTGCCCATGATGGAAAGGTGCACATGCATCAAATATTAAATTCAATATTAATTCAAATATTACTCAGCTGATAGAAAATAGAAATGTAATTGGAAGTTAGTTAAGATTCCTAGGTTTAAGATTGAAAACAATGTGTAAAAACAAATCAAGCATCGTGACAGTCTGGCCAAATTCTGCACAGGACTCTGTGG